ACAGTTAGTGATTATTCTCTTCAAATATACCAAAAAACCGTGTAAAAGGGCAAGAATGTTGAAAAATTCCAATTCAAAAAATGTTTTTCGTTTTTTCTCGGTTTATCAGTTTTTGATTTTGCTTCCAGGATATCTAGGTCCAGTGTCTTTCAATATACAGTAAAACCTTTCATAGTGGACACCTCTCTATAGTGGACACCGCCTTATAGTGAACACTTAGTGGTCCGACGGAATGATTTTTGCTGGAATTGAACCTCTGTATAGCGGACACCTCCATATAGTGGACACCTCTTTATAGTAGACACTTTTCACGATTCCTCTTTCATAAATAACCTCTGTATAGTGGACACTAACTATGAGTTCAAAGAGAATGTCGAGATGACTATCATTAGTCATTCAACATAATGACTTTTTATGGGTCGGACGGCGGAATGGAAAAAAAGATACATCTCAGTGGTAGAGAAAGAACACGTTCTTTGTGTTGAATAGTGGAGAGTGGTATACATATATAATCGCATTGAAAAATGTGTCCTTTTGTTATAAGTATTAAAAGAAAGAGATCATTATGTCTAATCGATGAGTGTTGACTGCGGAACAAAAGATTGTACTAATTAAGGGCAATTAAAGTGGTCATAGTTTATCAGGCTGATCTTTTTGTGTCACAGCAACAGACTCATCTGCACGATCATCTCTGATCTTGAATCACAATTAAGTGACATTTATCTATATTCCAAAGTGACGAAATAAAGCTCTATCAAAGATTTTTGTGATAATTGTTGATTTTTCTATTTTTCAAAACTAAAATACATGAAAAGAAAAGTAATAATGTGCTCTATCTAGATTATTTTATTCTCTGATGCTCTAGATGTCTAGAAACACGTTGACTTGTATGAAAAAGATGTTAGTTTTGGGAAACACATAACCTTCCTATAGTGGACATCCCGCTACAGTGGATGCTTTTGAAAAATCCGAAGAATGTCCACTATAGAGAGGTTTTACTGTATATAATTTTTTTTGTTTGAAAGAGCATGTCAAGGTGCAGGGCACCATATACTCCTTTTTTAATTAACCCTTGTTTTTTATTATATATAAGGGGTGAGAAAGTTATTTTTATTGTTATTGTTATTAATAAAAATAACAATAACAATAACTTTCTCACCCCTATTATATATACAGATATTTATGTAACTAGATACCCATTTTTGGCGCGTTTTTCGAGTCATTGAACTTGCGATCCCCTTTCTCCGCTAACAAAGTAAGAATTTTAATAAAAGGGCTCTGTGGTGCCCCGCATCCTGACATGCTCTTTCTAACAAAAACAAAAACATAATGCATGAACCTGGACCGAGAAATCTTGGAAGCAAAATGAGCTATTTTTGACCCTTGTTTAGTTCATATCTCTGTCAAACTTCAGAATATCGAGCTGAAAATTTTACCACAGCCTCCTTACTTTAGCTCCAACATATGCTCCAAATTTCAGCCCATTTGACCGTACCTGAGCTGTGATCGATTTTTAAGTTCGGGGGGGGGGGGGGGGCTTAAGTCCGTCGCACCACTGGTAATAGAAGAAAACAATTTGAGATGTATGTATATTTTTCTTCATTATCACTCACATTCAAATAAAAAACGATCACATCCATCATTTTTGGATGATAGTATACGTTTCTAAAATAACTATTAACTAAACAAGTTTTCAACAAAAAATTAAAATTCTCATTTGTTGTTCAACAATATTCATCTATTTCACATTAAAAATCGATTATAACATCAATAATATTGAATAAAATATTTTTCGAAAATAACGTTAGAAAAACAAATAAGTATAAGTTTGTAAGATGTGAAAAAATTCAGCAAAAATTGTTTTATCATTGAGAGTAATTTTTCAAATGATTATTCACTATTGAGAAAATGAGCGAACGCTCTACTAAATACTGTTCAAAAAAAACAAATGAAAGACTCATTTCAATGTCATCGATATTTATTTCTTCTATTCGATATTTTTTCTTTCATTTCAGTACCACCACTACGTGCAAGTTCGATTGATATTCGGTCGAATGCCGAATGGGCTCCCAATGGCATTACTGTGGCTGGAGGAAATGAATATGGCAATGGAATCCATCAACTCAATTACCCAAAAGGTTTATATGTTGATGATGATCAAACGATTTATGTTGCTGATGTGCATAATGACCGCATTGTGGAATGGAAATCTGGTGCAACGAATGGTCAAATAGTTGCTGGTGGAAATAAAGGAGAAGACGGAGCTAATCAGCTAAGATTCCCATTCGATGTGATTGTTAACAAAGAGAGAGATAGCCTCATTATCTGCGATACGTTGAATAATAGAGTCGTCCGATGGCCTCGTCAAGATGATACTAGAGGAGAAACAATCATCTCGAACATTCGTCCCATCGGTTTGACAATGGACGAAAATGGATTTGTCTATGTCGTTGACGAAGAAAAAAATGAAGTGAGACGATATAGAGTTGGTGATACTAAAGGAACAGTGGTTGCAGGTGGTAATGGAAAAGGAGATCGTTTCGATCAACTCTCTCATCCCCAGTATGTATTTGTCGATCGAAATCATTCAGTATACGTTTCCGAATTCGAAAATCATCGTGTGGTAAAATGGAAAAAAGGTGCAAAACAAGGCATTGTCGTAGCCGGTGGTCAAGGACCAGGAAATGGACTCACACAATTGAACGAGCCTCGAGGAATTGTTGTCGATCAATTGGGTACTGTCTATGTGGCTGATTGTCATAATCATCGAATTATGCGTTGGCCAAAAGGAGCCACACAGGGAAGTATCATTGCTGGTGGAAACGGCCAAGGCAAAAAGTCGAATCAACTATATCATCCCTGGGGTTTATCATTCGATCGACATGGCAATCTCTATGTCACCGATCACGACAATCACCGAGTACAAAAATTTAACATCAAATAAACTCAATACGATGATTTCTTTTGTTCTGTTCTCTTTCTCTTTC